AAGCGCTTGCTGCCTTCATTAGGACCGGTTTAGGAACTGGTGGGGGATGGGGGTCTGCAGGGTGAGGGCCTGGGCATGCGCCAAGAGCTAGGGAAGTCCAGGGAGGGCTGTGGGGTCCATGTGGGTGTCCCCCAGCACGAGAGACTGTCCTACTCAGCCAAAAGGGGCTCCCTTACGTCCATTTTTGGCAGAAACACGGACTCCTTTATGAGTCCATTTTTGGCAGAAATGGCCATCTGAAGAAAGGGTGGGAGGATGAGATGAACCACGTGGCTTCGTGAAGCCAGGGCAGCTGGGCTGAGGAAGCCAAGATGGCCAGAGAAGAGCAGAAACGGGTCATCTCGGGAAATGGCAGGGCCTCGGGCTGGGCTGCAAGTCACGGGTCAATACAAATGTAAACGAATTAATAAACTTAACAAGGTCAGCTCAGCGGCTGCACTAGCCCCATTTTAAGTGCTCGGGGGCTACAGCAGGCTGGCGGCCGCATTATGGACAGCGTCTACGGTACGCTTTAATCGTCGTAGAACGTTCTAGGAGCTGGTGCTGGTCTGCAGGTTTCATTTATCCCTTTGCATTTGGGTCCTAATTTGTCTTACAACAAGCGAGTCACTCTGGGTCTGTTCTCCTCTCTGGACCATCCTCGGGCTGGGAGAAAGCTGAAAAGGGAAGCTTTGGTCACAGAGAGCGCCACGGTCGAGTCAGTCCCCTCAGGCGTCCTCCCCGGGGGAGAGAACTCTGGAACAGTGTGTACTGGCTACTCCCTGAGTGGGCAGTGGCCCTGGCTACTCCCTGAGTGGGCACTGGCCCGCTAACGATACCTCCAGCCGAGGAGACGTAGGTCTGTCTCAGAAATGGCAGTCCCTGCTGCTTCACTTCTCCATGATCCCTGTGGGAGCCTGTGTGGGAGGGGAGAGGTCAGGAACCTTCCATGGGGGTGAACCTCCACCTTCCCGGGCAGGCCAGCTTCTGCTGAGGAGGAGAAGTTTGCAGCAGTGCCTCGCACTCATGGTCTCCGGCAGCTCTTCCTCCCACAGTGTCCTTGCCGAGATGTGGTCGACAGCACAGCCCAGGCAGCTCCGTGACATCACCACTCCTTCAGCTACCAAACCCGTAGCCCAGCGTGGCTATCTGAGATGGACGCTGCTTCCTGCACCACGTCCCTTCACTCTCCGTCCGTGGTGATGCCAGAGCTGCTCAAATGGGCTGACCCCTCACAACCGCCCAGCCTCATTCTGTGGCCCCAGAGGATTTGCCGAGTGACTCCTTCTCCTGCCGACCTCACCTCGGGCAAAGGGCAACTGGGAATTTTGACTGGGATTGTACGGTATCGGTTCAGGAGAAATGTTATCTTTATAATATTGAGTTTTCCCATTCATGAACATGATCGATCTCTCCAGTTATTAGCTTCTAATTCCTCTCTATAAAATTTTAGTTTTCTCTGTAGAGATCTTAGCCCTTTTTGGTTCGATTTATTTCTATGCACTGGATATTTTCCAATGCTTATCCTATCTTGAAGGGTATCTTATATGTCTTTTCCTGTCTTTGCTGGTAAGTTTCAGTTTATGATAGGAAGACCATGAGATATTTAGTTATTTAGTTACCTTCAGACTATTGCAATCAAAACTTTTCATGCTGACCAACTTCATCCTGCACAGATCTGTAGGGCCCAGGGACCATCCAGGTATCTTCAGGCAGTTACTGCTCCAACTCTTGAGCTCAAGCAATCTACCCGCCTCCACTTCCCGAGTAGCTAGGATTACAGGCTGGAGCCACTGTGCCTGGCCTTCCGGGTAGCTAGTTATCTCTTCTTCCGAGGAAGGAATGTCTTTCGAGCGGCTTGCCAGTAGGTGTTCAAAACAATCCCGCTATTAGCTATCCCACTCTCTCTAGACCATCGCCACAGATTCCTGAGGTTTTGTGGGCAACTGAATTTCTCTAAACTGTGGTGTATACTGATGTCGAGTTTTTTGGTGAATTTTTTTGTGAACAGAGTATGAACTTAAGGAGTGGGGTGGTTAGCTTTAGGGCAAGGACTCACTTGTGTAAATTGATTTTCGATGGAGTGGTGAAATAGAAACGAAGAAATTGGGGACATCCACCATGAAGACAGTGAAAGAACAAAGCAAGAGTGCAAACTGACCGGCCGATCAATCAACTAACCAACCAATCCCAGAGACTAACAGAGTAGAGAAGAAAACTCAAGCAAGGACAACTCTGCCAACTCCTCCCTGGCTGCGGTGAATGTCAATCTTCCACATCCTCGCTGCCTCACTGTCCTTTTGTGGCAAGTGCTTCAAAGCACACACTCACTTGTGTCATATGGAGACAATCACACCAGCGAAATGAAAAGCCCAGCACAGAACCCTGGTTGACAGGGAGCTATGAAAGCTGTCACACGTTTCAGGTCACTGTCAGAAGCCACTGGTTCTTGGGCCAGATCCAGCTAGACATTTCCTCCAGGGCTTCGAGTGGTTTCTGGTTTGCTTTTCTGCCTGAAAAGGTTGGGGCTGCTTTTCCCAGAGTTGATTCGTGAATGCAGGACATAGCTTAGTGGGAATCCAGGGGACCTGGGTCTGTGCCATGCTCCTCCCACGTGGGTGGTGGCCTTTGCCCCTCCCTTGCAAGAAATCTCTTTAGGGGAATTCACAGGACAGGTCCATCTTCCTTTCTCTTTACAGCACAGATCTACCCTGGCGTGTGTGGAATGCAAATGGCCCCAGAATGGCTCTCTTCCTTCTTGGGGGAAAGTCTCTCTTGCTCTGCCCTATATTCTCACGATAGAAAACCAGGCATGCAGGAAACTAGGACACACTTTATGGTCTAGGCCACCCCCACTGGTTACTTCCTAGGAAACTGGCTGGTTCTCTGATTTGCAGGGTTCAGGTGGAGGGTCTTTCAGGCACAGGCTCTTGTGATTGCCAGTTTCATGCGCTTCCCAGGGAAGGCTGCCTGGTCTGTCTCCTGTATCATGATTCAGAACGTCCACTGCGGGCGCTCCAGACTGCCTCAGACATTGCCAGAAACACATCTGAGTCAACTGTGGGATGACTCAAGGCTTTGAAATATTTAAACCATATGTCTCATGACACTGGAAGAAAACGATGCCAGTTTCCCCACCGAGAGGATGTCAGCTCAGCTCGGCAGTGATCCTGCACTCTGAGCCTCAGCCGGGCATGTTGCTGTGGGTGGTGAACTGTCAGTCCTCCCAGGCCAGGGGGCTCGGAAAAGGGCCCTGTGTGGTCAGAAACACTGAGGGTCTGCAGAAAGGTGGCCAGGGAAATCCAATGCTCCTCTCTAGGTCAGGACAAAATCTGTGCTCCTAAATGGGGCTGGACTTGGACGGGAAAGTGAAAAAAGGGTATATTTGTTTCCTTCAAGGAAGTAGGGAAACAGCATTCTTATCACCAAATCATGTTTGTTAGAAGTCTCCTTTGAAACTTAGCCAAGATCCTAGGTATTCTTTGAGTGGGGGAGATAGCCAGCATTGTAAGAATATTGCCTGTCTTATATTTTAATTCCCCCAAAGGTTGTTTCCCTCCCTCTTTCTGAAAAATACCCAGCAGATTCCTTGACTTGGAAAACTGCTCGCTAGCGCTCAGTATGGTGAAAAATACAGCGACTTCGAGGTCAGAGGGACTGGAGTCCAGTCCTAGCACTTAAGAGTGGTGTAATTAACACGGGACACAGAATTGCTCCGGTCTCACTTCCTTCCTCCCTACAAGGAGGATGCTAATACCTGTCTTATAGGGACATTTTGAGGATGACAAGCAGGATGTGTAACACACCATGCAGTGTCACAAATACGAGTCGAACAGTCATTCAACGAAGGCTACGGACATCTTGCTGATGCACATGGACCGCACAGCCAAGGAGGACTGTCCCCTAATCTCCTCTCACTTATAAGGAGCTGCTTACAAGGCGCAAAGCAGAGACATTCGCAAGTAACGGCTCTTCCTGCACTGGAGGGAGGAAGAGAGGGACCCACCCCCCTCCCCATCCAATGAATCCTGGGACAAGTTAAACACTTGAATACGATAGAAGACATGGCCAAGGACTTCCTTTTGGCCTCCCGTGGAGCTGTGTGGCATCTGGGAGCACTGATAAAGGAGGTAAGAGAAGTGTCAGCGAGGGAGAGATGTTTTGCACGTCTGTAACTGCACGATTGTTCTAGAACTCTCTCCTTCTCATCGCCCTCCCAAGGTGTTACAGCTGTCACAGCCTCCCTCAGGCGCAGCTGCCCCTTGTGGTGACTCCCTGGCCAACGGATGCTGGCGATTCTGACCTGTCTACAGAGGCTGGAGGTGGAAGGTGTTGCTCACACCAATGTCTGCTCGTCCGCTGTTCAGGACGGTGGGGGTGGACTGGCTAGTAGGACACAGATAATCCAAAGGGCCGGGTCATCCAGCCTTCCCTGCCCTGCCTCATTCAGCCAACGGGCCTAGCCTTCTTTCCCTCACAGGGAGCGAGGAGAGGAATTGGCCCCGGAGGATGGAAGGAGCCATGACCAAGCTTCTGAATCAGAAGCCCATTGGCTGGAGCGCTGAGCCCTGTTTAAAGGCTGACTTTTTAACACGAGATCAGTCTGCGTGGCGGAGGAAATGGAAGGAAGGTAGAACTATGGCCCGAGTGGGTCTGAGGGGTTGGGCCCGGAGAGGTTTGGTCTGCCAGTCCGTGGGCAGTTTCTTCTAGATTACGTTCTGGGGGGCGGGGATGGGAGAATTACTATCACCTGCCTCTCCCAGATGGCGAGGCTTGGCTCAGGGAGGAATGTGCTTCCTGTGCAGCCCAGCCAGGGTCAAGGCTATGGGCTGGGAGTCCGTTTTGAGAAGTTGGCCTGGTTCAGCCCCGGGCAGGTGTGGGCGCTGGGGCCTTTCTCCTGGGGGTGGGTGGTCCTCCACGGACGCCATCTCCCCTCACTCTCCTTCAGCCCCTGCTCTCCTGCCTCCCATCCCTGTCCACCCCTGGCCCCCGAGAGCCAGAGTCGTTTCTCAGAGGCCTACCTTGGGTTTGAAGGCAATGAGCTTCAAGATCATCTCCACGGTGAAAAGGCCGGTGAAGAGCATGTTGAGGATGTTCATAGCGATCTTGAACAAGCAGCTCTGGCCGTAGTGCTGCGTGAGGGGAGACCGGGGGAGCCGTGAGCCAGGCGGGGACGTCCCGCCTCCTCCCCACCTTTGCCCAGCCTTTTTGGGGATGCCCTCATCTCAACGGAGCTCTTCCTTGAGCCAGTCCTCCCAGAAGGCCCTCCACGTCTCCGCGGGCCGTCAGGCGGACTCAGGGAGCCTCCAAGTACTTTCTTGCTCTGCCATCTCTGAAAACAGAGGTTGGCGGAGTTCTGTGTTTCTTCCCTCATGGGTTGTGACGAATTTGTGGATTCTACTGGGCACAAGCTGGCCACCCTGAAGATGGGTGGATGTCAAACCCACCTTCAATGCTAGGCCTTACCATGACAATGAATGCGCCCATCTCACCCTGTTGGTTTTCAATTTCCTCCCCTCCCTCCACTTGATCAACTCAGGGTCATATGGATTCTTTCCTAAGGCCCCAGAAGGGAGCTTGTTCTTTTTTTTTTTTGAGTTGGAGTCTCACTCTGTCGCCCAGGTTGGAGTGCAGTGGCACGCTCAGGGCTACCGCAGCCTCGACCTGCTGGGCTCCGGTGATCCTTCTGCCTCAGCCTTCCAATCAGCCGGAACTACAGGCGTGCATTACCATACCCGGCTTTTTTAAAAATTGTAGAGATGAGGTCTTGCCAAGTAGCCTGGGCTGGTCTTGAACCCGCGGGTTCAGGCAGTCTACTCGCCTCGGCCTCCCAAAGTGCTGGGATGACAGGCTGAGCCACCGAGCCCAGCAGGAGCTCACCCTTGAGAAGCAACACATCTTTCTCCAGCTGCCTCTCTTGGCGACCGGGAAGGTGACACACAGAGCTGGCCTTGCCATCCCATCATATTTCCATCCCCTCCTGGCATCCTCCCTCCTGTGGGCATCATGGCTCGGGCTCCCCCCGGGACTGACCTGCATGGCCAGGCAGATGGTGTTGAGCAGGATGAGGACGAACATCAGGTACTCAAAGTAGGTGGAGTTGACCACGTACCACACTTTGTACTGGTGCTGGTTCTTGGGGATGTACCTTCGCAGGGGCCGGGCCTTGAGGGCATATTCCACGCACTGTCGCTGGCGGGGGAGAGGCAGGGCGGGAACCGGGAGAGGGGGTTAGTGGCCGGGACAGTGTGTGGCGAATGGCAGAGAAGGGTGGGGGTGTGGAGGAAGCCACAGTCCCTGGGGGAAACCAAGGAAGTTCTCTCTTGCCGTAGCTCACCCAGAGATCTGAGGTGGTATTTGGGACATGTTTTGATTTCCTTTCACGGCCTCCATCGAGGAGAGAGTCCCTGCTGCCAAATCTCCTTGTCTAGATCATAGGCAAGGGGCACGTGCCTACTAGCCTTCACCCTGGTGATGGCTGGCATACAGGTAGCGGGTAGCCAGCATTCGATAAATATGTACTTACTGATCGACTTACGGAGAGTTGGCCTTCTCACTGATTATTTCCTATGCTTTGGACTCTCCTTGGGGCACTTGTCTCCTCAATTCTTCTTTCCTAAATCAACCTTCCTTATTTGCCAGTGTCCACAAAATGGGAAAGCATAGCTCTTTGACTGAGGAGAAGATCTTGAGTTAATTAGATCCTTGGGACCCTGGCAAAGATACAATTCATTTCTCTGCACTGCGCCCAGATTCCCAAATCAAGGAACTGGGGAGTCGCCTTAGTCTCTTCTCTGACCTGCAGCCTCCATGTCCAACCCCTAAGCTGTACCACTTCACCTCCGTTACCTCTTTCCATCTCTACTATCGTTAACCTGTTGCTAGTTCAGAATCTATTCAGCTTTCATGTCTATTCTTTACTGGCCTCCCTCCCGCTTTCCCTTTCTCCTTTTTTTCTTTTTTTCTTTCTCCCTCTCTTTCTTTCGAGATGGGGGTCTTGCTGTGTTGCCCAGGCTAGTCTCAAACTCCTGGCCTCAAACAATCCTCCCACCTCAGCTTCCCAAAGTGTTGGGATTACAGGCGTGAGCCCCTGCGTCCGGCCTTCCCTGTGTTACTTTCAATCCAAAGTCCACATAACAGCCAGCATGATGAGTCGAAACCCAAGATGGCGACCCATGAGGATATGGCTGATCTCATTAGGGTTGCGCTTAGCCTGCCACGCCACGCTCCTTCCTGCAAGCAGTTCTTATTCAGGCAGGGATGTGCTTCCCCCTGGACTCCTTCCACTGGGGAATGGACCTCAGTGATTGCACCTACACCCTACCCTACCAGCTTCCTGACTCACCCCGATGGCGCTGCCGGCTCTTATTCCCAGGCCAACAGAGGCTTTAGGTTTTACTTAAGAAACAATGTAATGGTAGTCTCCTAAAGCCATTCTCTTCCCTACCCTTACAGCTCTCCCTTCCTCCTAACTCTGGTTTCCCCTCTATTTATCAGTGGTGCCAACCCACCTGGGTACTTTCTAACTTATCAGTTTCAGGATAGGACACAGGATCTTCTTTTTCACAAAGCCTCCCATAGAGTACCCTACGTCAAAGCTGAACAAATACTTGCTGGCTGAAGATATTAGCTTTGCAGGGATTTGCCTTTCTTTTGTACAAACACATCAAGAAGACCGAGAGCCCCGTTCTCAGGTGGGGGCGGGGAGTGGCCATCTTGGTATCCACACAGACCCCCCCCGACTGTGGCCTCTCTGCTGGGTGGGCCGCAGGCTGCCAGCGGCTGCCGTGGCTTCCACGGGCCTGCTTCCCTCCGCTGCTTCCTGGGGAGCTACCTGGTTCTTGTCCAGCTCGCAGTTCTTGTACTCCTGTTCCCCCTGCTCCTGGAAGGTGACAATGACGAAACCCACGAAGATATTCATCATGAAGAAGGCAATGATGATGATGTAGATGATGAAGAAGATGGAGATCTCCACGCGGTAGTTGTAGATGGGGCCCTTGTCTTCCGTGTGGGAGTCGATGGAGCGGTACAGCAGCCTGCAGGAGGAGACAGCCCCCAGAGTGTCACCTCTGCGGAAGAATGGCACCGCCCCCCAGGGATCTCAGGGATCAGGGTGCAGGAGGCAGCCCTAGACTGGAGCCAGACGGTCTGGGCTCTAGTCCCAGCTCAGCCATTATCGGCTGTGCCACCTCGGGCAGGGCGCTTGACCTCTCTGGAACTCAGATTCTTCATCTGTAAAAGGGAGACAATAATCCCCAACTTTCCCACCTTGCAGGGTGGTTGACATAATGCGTGCGAAGCCACTCTGAAACTGTCAAGAACGATTTAAGTATAACCTGAGTCGTGGACACAGATTTCAATGTTGGGAAACACTGGTCAAGGGTGAGACAGCTTGGCAAACTGGTGTGGACTCAGGGGATGTCAGCATAGACATGAAACAGATCTCTCTGAGGGCAAATATCCAGTTGGATAAAAATATACGACACATACTTGATCAGACTGTCGACAATGGTTGGGCTTCACACTTCAGCAGTTCACCTTTGCATGCCATGCATCCGGGCCTGCGTGTCCCAGGAAGTTTGCCCGTCTTCATGGACAGGGAGTCCCTGTCCCTTTCCTCTGTGACCCTGAGTGGTGATTTCCTAGGTGTCATCATCCGAGAATGATGACTCGCATCCGAGATGCATGCACTGCTGCTGGCTTGGGAATATTTAGATTTCTCTGACTTATAATCTATAATTATTTCTGAATATGTATCCTAAATATATTATATGCTATGTAATGTATTAAGTAAATTACATTACATATTATTAAATATTATACATTATATAAATATTATAGATTCTATTTATAATGATCAATTATAGTTTAAGTTATAATTTCTTTTTTTTTTTTGAGTTGGAGTCTCACTCTGTCGCCCAGACTAGAGTGCAGTGGCTGCTCCCGGCCACCGCAGCCTTGACCTGCTGGGCTCCGGCGATCCTTCCGCCTCAGCCTTCCGAGTAGCTGGAACTACGGGTGCGCGCTACCACGCCCAGCTAATTTTTTGATTTACTGTAGAGATGAGGTCTTGCCAAGTTGCCCAGGTGGGTCTCGAACCCGTGGGCTCAGGCAATCCACTCACCTCGGCCTCCTAAAGTGCTGGGATTACAGGCTGAGCCACCGAGCCCGGCTAAGTTATAATCTCACTGAGTAGAAAAGCAGGTGTCTATACAAAGACATCAGGAACACACGACAGGGCCCTCTTGGAAGAGGTGAGGCCATGTGCAAGGCTTAGGAAGGTATGGAGACACTGACTCTGCAGAGGCCCTGGGACCCAGGCCCTCATCTCTTTCTTATCTTCTACCGTAAATATAGACAAGACTTTCACTTAGGAGACTGGACCAGAGCCCATAAAACAGACTCATCTCAGCCATCTGGACCCACATGGAGTGCACGCTGAAACGTGACATCTTGAGTTCTACGATGACCGAAGGGCCCACACCTGGAGAGACTTCCCACCGCCACTTCCAGGTGCCACAAGGATATTGACAGAGATCCCTGGCATTGTAGTGCATGCAAAGGTTGGAGAGAGAGCTACAAGAAAAGCTCATTTTTTGGGGTGGGGGTTTCTAAAGTGTTGACATCTTCTAGAAAAAAGAAGAGTCTGTGTTTCAGCAGTGACTGTGGCCTAAAGGTTGTTCTAGGAATATACCTTCATTGCCGGGGAAGACACACAGGTAAGTACGACCTCTGGGAAGGCGTGTGGGATATTAAGAAACTTGGGAATTGACTGGAAGGCCAACATGCTGATCTCGCCAAGGTCAGGTGGGAGACGCCTTGGCTTGCATACTCACTCTGGCCACCCCTCAAAGGTGGAGACGGTGAAGAGAGCCATCATGGCCGCCAGGACATTGTCAAAGTCAAACTTGCTGTTCTCCCAGCTCCGCGGCTGGATGATGGGGTGGTCAACCTCCCCGTCTTTGTATGTGATGTAGTTACCCCTGAGAAAGGAGGGCACAGAGTAAATTCTGGGCGCTCCCATCTCCTCCCTTCACACCCGACCCACCAGTGATGGGTTGCCTGCATGCTGGGTGGGATAGAACCGACTGGGCTTGGACCTTATAGTTCTAGTCACTGGGAAGGACTGCAGTGGGCAGAATTTTCAGGAACAGAAAATGTTACAGGCCACGACAATGTGGCCAGGTTACATATGGGCAAAAGTTCAGGCGCCATGGCAGCCTGAGAGAGAATACGCCATCCCTCCCTTCCATCCAAGTACCCAGCCTCCCAGGGTTGACCGGCCATGGCACCGACTGCCCTCCTGCCTGGACTCACTTGCACTCCGCCTCGGTCTGTTTGGAACTATCTGAACAGGTGTAGAGCTTTCCCTGGAAGGACAAGAATAGAGTGAATTAGAGATGTTCGTCCATCAGTGAGTCCATCAACGAACCACGATGAGCATTTCCACAGTCCACCACTGTGCTAGGGACGGTGGGATAAAAAGTGTAGAATCCAGATGGGGAAGACGTGACTCACAGAGGTCAAACCACGGCACACACAGACGCTCAGTGTGGCAAGGAGTGTTGGAATGCAAGCCACGGACCTCCAGGCCTGGAAGCTGGGCTCCCCAAGAAGGTCTCATGAGAGGGGGCAGGTACTGGGCTCAGGGCTATGAGTAAGATGGAAGGAGACCCATGGGAGTTTATATAGTTGGATGGTGGGGAGGGTGGGGGAAGACAGCTTTAGGAGGGAGAGCAGTGGAATTCAAAGAGCTACAGAAGGAAGAAGCAGAATCAAAGGAGGATGCTGAACTCATTGTAGCCTTGTCCGGAGGCAGTGGGAACTAACATGGGTGGGTGCAGAGCTCTGAAGTCAGGTGTGGTGCTTATTGATAACAAGTCATCACTGAGGTTTCTTTTTCTTTTTTTTTGAGTTGGAGTCTCACTCTGTCGCCTAGACTAGAGTGCAGTGGCACACTCCCTGCCACTACAGTCTCGTCCTGCTGGACTCCAGCGATCCTTCTGCCTCAGCCTTCCAAGTAGCCAGAACTATAGACGTGCGCTACCTCGCTCGGCTGATTTTTTGATTTATTGTAGAGACGAGGTCTCGCCGAGTTGCCCCGGTGGGTCTTGACCCGTGGGCTCAGGCAATCCACTCGCCTCGGCCTCCCAAAGTGCTGGGATTACAGGCTGAGTCACCAAGCCCGGCCTTCACTGAGGGTTTTTTTGTTTGTTTGTTTTTGAGTTGGAGTCTCACTCTGTTGCCCAGACTGGAGTGCAGATGTTGCTCTCGGCCGCTGCAGCCTCGACCTGCTGGGCTCCGGTGATCCTTCCGCCTCAGCCTCTAAGTAGCTGGAATTACAGGCACATACTACCATGCCCGGCTGATTTTTGATTTATTGTAGAGATGAGATCTCTAAGTTGCCCAGGCGGGTCTCGAACCCACGGGCTCGGGCAATCCACTCACCTGGGCCTCCCAAAGCGCGGGATTACACCGAGCCCGGCTTCACTGGGGGTTTTAAGCAAGTGACTGACACAGACATTTCCTCAGGATGAAAGTCCCTCTCGACCTCCTGGGCTCAGGCAATCCTTCCCCCTCAGCCTCCCAAGTAGAGCAGCTGGAACTACAAGCCTGTGCTACTATGTCCAGTGATTTTTTAATTTTTAAAAATTTTTGTAGAAATGAGGTCTCACTGTATTTCCCAGGCTTGTTTCGAACTGGGCTCAAGCGAGCCTCCTGCCTCGGCCTCCCAAAGTGCCGGGATGACAGGCGTGAGCCACCGTGCCCGGCCCTTCTCCCTTTCCTGCTCGAAGGAGGGTGGTGACCCGAAGAAGGCAGAGAGGGCGAGAGGCCTCTGGCCTGGCGGAGGGCTCCCCTTTCCTGGTTGCCTCCTCTGGTCTGAATACTTGAGTTGGGCTGGAGGGCGGAGGTCACATCCAGGCCGGGTGTGACCCGGCTACTGCCCTCTTCCTGTTGCGTCTTCCTGGGAATGCGCACGGGAAGCCAAGGGAGCGGGACCACAGAACAGGACCAAGACTTTACCTTGAAGAGTTGGACCCCAATGCAGGCAAACATGAACTGCAGCAGCGTGGTGACGATCACGATGTTCCCGATGGTCCGGATGGCGACAAACACGCACTGAACCACGTGCTGCAGCGGGACGGGGCAGGGGAGAGGAGGGGACATGCTTTCAGGAGAGGCCTGCAGCCTGCGCCTCCTTCAGCCAAGCCGGGAGACTCTCTGGGGAGGTAACACAGGGAGCCCCTTTGCTGCAAGTGGGAGAAATCAGGCGGAGAGAGGCAAAGCAGCCTTCTCAGAGTCCCGTGGAAAGTGCTGGAACCTAATGGGACACGAAGACCCCCCCCCACTGGACTCTAGGTGGTGATAAGGACCACCTTGAGTCAATAACGGGGCTATAATCGACTCATAAAGCTGTTGCAAGGACTACAGGTGAATCGGATGAGAATCACTGAGCCCTGTGCTTGTACACACAATGAAATGAACACATGGGGGCTTTTGTTACCCTCCCTGCGGAGGACAGCATTTTGCTTTTTTTTTTTTTT